TTTTGTACAATCATGCTTCTATTACTATTTTTTTTTTTAATGGAAAAATCTGTCCAATTACTAGAATGGATATTTTCATTATACTAGTCCCATAATGTTCTTTCTACTATTTCTAAGGCTTTTTTAGAACCATAGAAAACTTGACTCATATAATAAAATTTAGATCTCTTAATTTTTTTTTCAAATTTGAATTCCAAGGACGAACTTTCTGTATTGTTTAAGTCTAATGCTTAACAAAATGCTCGATGACTAGTTTTTTTTTTTTTTTTTTTTTTTTTTCATAGTCATATTGGTGCTATACCGATCCATGTTACAGACAAAATTTTTTTCCACGATGAATAAAATTATAAATCAACGTTTTATACGGAAATGTTTTTTCTGAATCTCCTGGGCCTTCACTTAAAAAAGTTTTTATCTTTTTAATGACATATAGTTCTAAAAATCGTGATTTGATCTTCATTGGATTCATTATACTTTGAATCAAAAATTTTTGTACACAAAACAATTTTTTCATTAGACTGTTGTCTTTTATATCAATTTTTGTTGATGTTAGTCAATTAAAGTTTTTACACGATCTGTTCTTTCATTGTAAAATTTTATTTACGAATAAAACTGCACGATTTTAGTATTTATTGAACTTTAAAAGGCAAACTAAAAAAATAAAATATTTAACTGATATTAAAAAATTTGGGATTGGCGCGTGAAGCACGCAAGGAGACGAAGCCCCACGAGTATATATATGGGTTAAAAACGGGCCAACTAATAAGATGATTTTGTGCTCAAGATTTCCGTTTTTGTGTAAGCTTTGTGATGTTATTTTGCTCCATGTTCAGGATGACTGATTGAATATAGCCGTTGGAAGCTAAAAAGACTCATTGTTCGACAAAAATAGTTGTAAGAAACAAAAATTCGCACCATATCAGGTTATTTCTGAGCTTTAACTGTAGCTGTGAGATTGTAAGAAGTTTGTATGGTAGATTGTCAAAATTCAGCATGGTGGATCTAATTTGTTGGTAAGGAATTAAGTATGGTTGCCAAATTATCCAAATTTGACCGATTTGCACCATACTTGGAATATGGAGGTCTTATGGGCTCCTGATCAGTAATTTAAGGTTAGATCTGCTTAATTAAAAATGGTGAATGTAAGATAGCAGATAAAATTGTCTAAAACTAACAGGTATGCACCGAATTCGGTACAAGGAGGTTTTTAGGGTTGCTAATTCCGAATCTAAGGTCAGATCTGTAAAACTGAAGATGGTAGACCGAATATAGTCTAATTTATTTTTTAATTAAGAGACCTGTACCACGATACGGGGGTATTTGGGATCGTTGATTACAAATATTGAATCAGATTCTTAAAATTCAACAGAATTGACCCAATACAATTAATTGGTTCATTAACTTTGTGCTCAATCAGGTCCGCCATCTTTAATTTCGCAAATCTGACTTTAGATCTGCTACGTTGAACCAGCCGTATTTTATTTAAATGATTTCATATTCAACTTGAGATCCGTCACCCCAAAAATCTCTAGATGGCAGACTCTGTTAAAAAAATATCACAGTAAGTTTTGGCATATACCAAGTATCTAAAACATATGATAACCCAAAATGACAAAGGACAGCAAAAGAAAGTCAATAAATTAGTGTTTACAGAATGTATTTTAGTCAAGTACTTATTTATGTAACTAAAATTAAAGGTAATTTATTCAATACTCAAGTTAAGCCGACTGACATATGGTTTCATTACAGTCGCCGTAGCTAGAACTTAGTACCTAGTACATATTATCACATTGTTAGCACGCACTTTTGAAGTAAGTCAAAGTTATAAGGTAGTACTCTAAAATTCCTAATGACGTTAATCTAAAGCATCCGTAAAAATGTTGTATGCAAGATTGTTAAACTTTAACATGGTAGATCTTATATCGCAGTCAGACATTTAATATAGTAGCCAAATCATGGACTCTTACTACTCTATCGATTTCAACCAAATTTGTAAAACAAAAGTTTTATGGATCGCTGATCACTAGTTTAAGGTCAGATTTGCCAAATTCAAAATGGTGGATCCAAGATAGTGGATGAAATTTTCTACAACAGACTAATGTGCACCGAAATTAGGACAGAAAGACATATTAGGTTGCTGACAACAAATTTAAAGTCAGACCTAGAAAATTTAAGATGGCGAACCTGATTTGGCACCAACTTAATGAACTGTCGAATTGTATTGGGTCAACTATTTTGAATTTCAAGAATCTGACAGAAGATTCATCATCAACGATCCCACAAATTTACATATCGTGGTATAGTTCTGGTTATTGAAAAGCAAATTACACCATATTGAGTCCACCATCTCGACTTTTTCAGATCTGGCTTCAGATTCATAATCAGCAACCCTAAATATCTTTTTATACCAAATTTGGTGCATACCCATCTTTTAAAAAAAATTTTATATGCCATCTTTAATTTGCCATTTTTAATTTAGCAGATCTAACCCTAAATTGGTAATCAGCAGCCCACAAAAACTCGATAGAAAATGTACTGTGATTAATTAATCGTTATAACGTGTATTTCCTATTTTACAATATTAAAATTTATTATCAAAATATACATGTGATCAGTTAAGCAACAGTTGAAAGACTCTACAGCATTTATATAATATTTTTCATCACAAATTAACGTTGCTACGCAAACTTCCCATTCCACTGCGATGTTCGATTATATGATTCGCCACACTACGCCACTTGGCAAAGAATTTGGCTATACATTAAAAATGTCTCTAAATCTAACTTTTCTGCCAGAATGCGTTGTGTGTTCTTAAACGAAGTCATTTGTATGGTTACAATATTTATCCTGGATAAGAAAGTATTTAAGTTAATCATACCTAAGCCAACATCCAGTGTACCTGTAAAAAAAATAATTGTTTTAGTATGTAAAATATAAGAAGTTTGACAATAAAGCATTATTAACACTTAATTGTCAAACATCAATAAAAAAATTATTTTTTTATCATATATCTACTTCCTTAATATCAATTTCAGATTACAGTCATCAAAACGTGTTGCACTCTTTAATGTACTTGTCTAAGCGACAATATTACTCTTACGTACATCACACTTAACTAAAAACTGGCTAGCTAGTTCTCTTTGTTTTTCTCCTATTATGTTGTGAAATAATATGGGCTTGTTGCAAAAATGGCACCACAAGTCCTTCCCAACCTTTCAAATATTTACTATTCTAAAGCAAATTTTTTAATGATCATCATGATTTGTGGCCTACAGAAATACATAATTTAGAAGAAATAATTCATTGTAAGCTTTGCTGTCAGAAAAATAAGCATTCAATACAAACCTCACTTGTTAGTGGCTCTGTTCTCAAATAACGTCCTTGCTTGCCCTTCGTACGATCTACGACTGTCTGCAGTTTTTAAACACTCTTTTTTTATGAAATAACCATTTACTTTTACAATCTTACATCAGTTTATGTCTGACATTTTATTTCGCATTAAAATTAGCTAGCATTGTCCATGACAAAACGTGAACAAACGACGAAATAAGGTACATATATTTATACATTGCAAGGTTTCCAAGAAAACTAACTAGACGACGTAAGTAGCACACAATGCGATTGACTTTCAGGAGTGAAAAGGAGTTATAAAATTATTTGGTCTGTTTACATACATATGTCAAAGTTTCTTTTGTAAGTACTGCGGGATATAAATTTAAAGTATTTCAGTAATAAATACGTCGTATTAATGTTAAAGTGTTATGCCCCCCTAGGCCCTCTGTATGATACGGCACAATACGCTCTATCCTCCTTAATATTAACGTTAAGAGAAAGTACTATTTAAACTTACTATTGCTGAATACTATTAGTTAATTTAATGAAGTCTATTGCAAAGAGAGTGATGAAAATCTCTCAAAATTTTGACTTAGTACTTGGTTGAGTGTACTGTCAGTGCGTTACGATGCATCAGTAAAAAATAATGAATTAAGTTAATTAAACAGCAACAGTAGTGGCTGTGGCTACAATACTTATAGTTATTTGTGACGTTAAAAAAATTTGTTTCACAATTTTGTTTGCCACGCCACAGTCGACGCCGCTGCTCTGAAGCTAAATAATCATACTGATGTTTGTATGTGACCTTTTCTGTGTTCTCTGTGGTAGCGATCATTCTCCAAGGAGAAGAAAGGATGATACGTGAACAATGGGTCAAGGTAGTCTGAAGAGTGTATGAAAAGTTTTGTAAGTGCCGCAGCCCGCGGTGGTGACTCTAATGAGTTAGATCGGTGGATAAGGTAGGGACGGGGTAGTTTGGTCAAAAGACAGTTAGTTGATTTACCGAGTGAAGAGTGGGGAGACCGACGCGAACGTTAAAAGGGCAGTGGGTGTGAGACCACCGAGTGCCAGGTGTAGAAGAGAGAACGTAGAGAGAGAGAGAAAGAGAGCAGAGAGTAAGTGAACATATTAAGTGCAAGAGAAAGAGAGAAAGAGGATACCCGAGGCCTCAACCAACCTGGACGAGCAGCTGGCTAACGGATGGACGAGCCACCCCGTTCAACGACGTCATTCGGATATAGATATAGTCCCCGCCAATGACACCCTGTATATCAGGACAGCATGGAGCCCATCCAGAGTAGTAAGTCGGATATAGCGTTATTCTAAGAGGAGATTCATGTGCCGACGATGGTGGCTGAATAACGTATGCAGGTACGTAGCGTGGGGGCTGGTAGGGACGACGACAAGAGCAAGAGTGAGTGTCGAGAAATTAAGAGCGAGAAAAGTGATTGTTCGCGCACCGATCAGGCCTTCATCGAGACATGGGGACTGAAGCGTTGGGTGAAGTGTGTGAAGGAGAGAAAAGGACCGAAAGACAAGGTATGACTGTGAGAATAAGGTAGAAAGTGATAACACAAGTATTTGTGGATAGGTAGAGGTCGAGACGAGTAGACGACAGAGAGAGAGACAAGTAGTACGGGTGCAGGCGTAGGGTTAATCGTGAAAGAATGTCGGGACACGTATTGGGGAGAGTATTTGAGATCTTACTGGCCATGGTAGAGATCAGATCTGGTGGTTTAATAGTTCGAGCCAAGTGTGTGCTTGCGCAGCTAACCGAGTTGGGAAGAAGCCGTGGTCGACGCACCTGGCCCTGGCCGAGAGTCACGTGGATAAGAAAGAGAGTGTAAGGATGCGTGTGTGTCTGTGCATAAGCAGACATCGTGTCTCTCTGAGTGCACCACTGGCGTCGTGGTTGTGATCGAGAGATTACATCATTATAATTGGGACCAAAACAGGTGTTTTCTTGAAAATAATAAATACTTAAGGTTAAAGTCAAAGTTACTCTATGGTGCTCATTCAGAGAAGAAAAAGTAGAGAGAGAGCAAATCATCGAGTAGAGATGTATGGGAGTGAATTATCACGGTATTTACTCTCCAATGGTAAGTCGCCTTGGGGAATTAGAAATACTCTTCATATATTATAACGGTTATTATAATAGTATTCATATCAATAATAATAACTATTTTTATTATAACGTTATTCATAATGATGACAATAATAATAAAGATAATGAATGATAGTCGGATTTTGGCAAATTTGCTTTTTTTGCTGTTGGTCACCAGAGAGGAAGTCGAACATGTTTTCCGTCCGTACTTATTAGTGTAGTTGCTCTCAGCTTTGTTTTCGCATCAATTAGTTTCTCAAAGTTATTTTATTTTCTTGTATTAAAAACCATTTTGTTTCCTTCTTGTTTCCGGTCAGCATAGGCCAGCGTGCATGTGCATCAGTCATGTTTAGTCGTAGTATAGCAAGTACGAGTGAGCTCGTAGGTGATTCACCTCCTTTTAGATGCATATTAGCTTATGCTTCTAATGTTTTCAAATCAGTTTGGGGAAATTCTAAAGGAAAGAAGAAAAAAACCATTTGTTTGGTCGATTCCGATACATGTTTACATAAGACAGCCACGTTTGTCCAGATACTTATGTGCAAATAGACACACATATAGATATATAGACAGTCATGTAACTCATTCTTGTTCTACTCACGCGCAGCTAGAAAGACAAGGAAAAAGAGGCAATGGGCATTAATTAGCTTGGCACTATTCGGTAGCTAACAGCCAAGCATGAGTCGAAGGAGACAGCGGGAATGAGCTGAGTTTTGCCGATGCGGCACAAATTGTTGATACATGACGTCATTATATTTCTGGCTCTCTTGAAATTGGTCATATATTTTTTTCGCTAAGCTCAGCGCTTCAGCAGCTGAGATATATGATTAGCTTGCTCTTATTTTCTTGCTTGATTGTCTCGTTCTCTCTCAATCTCGCTAAAGAGATTTTAGAATCACGCGTTCACGATCACTTCTCACGGCGTCCTCGTGGACAGCGTCATCTTCGTAGACGATCGACAATCAGACAAGGTTCTGACGTAACGCCAACAATCACTGGCGCTGAGTCAACTACATACATTAATACCACCAATTGAAGCGGTGCCATCGCCAGGTCGACCATGCACCAGTGATGAACGGCTCATCGTTTTACCAGTACAAAATTTACATATAAATACTTATACATGCGTTGTCTGGCTTATTTTTCTTTTTCTTGTACTTGATTAATTAATTAACATCAATTTAAATTTCACTTTAGTTTATTTGTATTCAGTATTCATAGTTCTTGTTTTTCAATAAATTGGATTTTTTATGCCACAAGGCTTTTTTACCGCAATCTCGTGTTATTTATCCAGCATGATCCTTAGATATTAAACCATGAGACATCGAAAAATTGACAAGTTTTCGACGATGCACTAACAGTGGTATCAAAGATAGTTTACCGCTGTTGCTCCGTATAAAAATTAAAAAAACCGTGTTTTGATTTCAAGCGTTGCAAAAGCTGCAAATTTATGAAGGAGACACGAGCCCGTAACGCTAATTTGGTCCCTTTTTTTTATCTTAAACCAAAGCAATACTTTTTATCGTCCAAATTCTCTTGTATCTTCAGCAGAAAATATCCTTTGATTCTTTAAAAGAAAGTTTTCAAATCGATATGTCTTTACACAACGTTGTTATTAACTAGGACTCTAAATAGACTGTGACACATGTACGATACAATAGAAATCATGTACAATGCCATAAAAACTCTGTTCATAAAGGCCACTCGGATTCATTTATACAGTAAAACCTAAAGAACGTTTTTGAGACATTTGTAGAAACCTTCAATTCTTTAAAATGTAAATCTTCTAGATGTTTTAAATGCCAGAATAGGTTGGGCACGAATACAAGGCAATTTACCGATAGATTACCTATTTGAAATGCAGTATTTTTACCAAAGTAAATTACAGACCCACCCCTGAAAACGACCAACCATGCAAGATATCATCCAATTCGATGGGTACTACGGCTGTTCTTTGTGTTAACATCGTAGTAAAATGATTAGTAAGGGAAAAAAATCCGTAAAATATCTGTTGTTGACGGTGGAAATTTCACTTAGACGAACAGAAGAGTCGGTGCTTAGCCATTTTTAATGGACACCTTACTTAATCCTGTCTGTTATACACGATACGGGCGTCACATCCATCTGGACACATTCACGCTCGTTTTTGACGTTAACATCATTTAAAACCAGTCACCTTTAAACGCACGTTTACACATTAAAATTGTTGCGTATGTGCATCGAGCGTACCTATACTAACAGCGCTACCTAGTGTGACTAGCTTGTAATGCGCGACACCACCTGCCCGACGATGTGGCCGTGCGTGGCCAGCAGATAGCCATAAGCAGCCTGCTAGAGCGTACGTGCCAAGTCTGTACTCACAAGCCTCTACAATTAATAAATCCATTTTACATTAATATTGTGTACCTTGTCTCTCATCTTTTATTAGTTAAAACACAACAGTGGCGACGAGGATGGGATAAAAAAAAAAAAAATAAGAGTGCTGTGTAACAAAAAACCGGAAGGGGTTTTGACGTGACCGTGAAAGGCTAAAGAGCGACGAAATGTATAAAGGGAAGCCGTTGAAGAGCCTTACTCCTGAAGAGTGGGAGCAATTCACGGAAGACGTAGTAGCGCAACAGAAAACCAATTAACGTGAAAAGGAAAGGCTAAGAGATGAGAGACAGAAGATAGATGCGGCTCAACAGCTGGCAGATTTGGCTTTGGGAGAGCGGCAAACAATTCCAAATACGGTGATCAAGGGTACCATAGGCAACTTAAGTGAATTTTCGTTGGAAGACAATTGGTCTATGTGGTTTGAGCGTTTCCAGCAGTACTGCGAGGTTAATGAGGTCTCGAACAACAAACACGTGCCTTTGTTCCTAACACTAATTGGGAAGGAGGCTTATAAGCTCCTTCGTAATTTGTGCTCACCTGTGCTACCTTTGTCTCTCCCCTTGCCCCAGCTAGAAAAGACTATGAGGGAGCACCTCCAGCCTGCCCCGTGCATCATCATGGAATGGTATAAATTCAAAGAGTGCAGGCAGCAACAAGGGGAGGATGTTAAGACTTACCTGGCGAATCTCAAAAAACTGTCCAAGGAGTGTAATTTCGGTGCAGGGTTAGAAGATTACCTGCGCGATCAGTTTGTCTGGGGTATTGCGAGTGAGGCAATTCATAAGAGGCAACTGGGAGAAAAAGATCTCTCATATCAAAAGGCATATGACATCGCACAGTCCATGGAGGCAGCAGGCCGTGACGCTGCACGAATGCAGACGAAAACGGGAGCGGATGCACTAAACTACATTAAGGATAAAAGGCGAGCGACCCAAGGGCAGAAGAAGGGACCAAGCGAGCAAGAGAAATGTTTCTGCTGCCGAAGGGCTAACCATCGCAGGTCGGAATGTCGCTACAAGGACTATAAATGCAAACAATGCAGTAAGGTGGGACACCTTCACGCGATGTGCAAAAACAAGGACAAGGATACCCCCATTCCCGGAAATCAAGGTAGGCAGCGTGTTAAAAAAGCAAGTGACGAGCGGCAAGATTTCGTAGAAGAAGAAGACGGTGAAATAGGTTCGTTAAGTGAAGTGTGGGACTCAGTTTTTTGCATGCATGAGGGATACGCGTCTGTAAATAAAAGTAGTGAGCCGTTGTATGTGAGTGTGAGTGTTGAGGGCAAGCCGTTACGTTTCGAAATGGATACCGGCTCCACTATTTCTGCAATTTCCGAGAAAATTTATAACGAGCATGTTTTCTTGCGTGAACTGTCGATGGGTAGTACAAAGCGTATTTTCAAAACATACCACCAGCAAAGGCTGATTCCTATAGGTATACTTAATGTAAACGTTAAACGTTTTGATAAAATGGTGGATCTCGAACTTTTTGTTATGCCAGGTGACGCGAAAACACCTATAATGGGCCGCAAATGGCTACGTGCGTTAGGAATAATAGGAATTCAAGATCCTTTTGATCTCAATAACATTGATATTAATTCTGTAAGGTAAAGCAAGGAATCGATTAATACGCTTATTCATAGGTTTAGTGATATTTTTTCAAATGAGATGGGCTTATACAAGGGTGGGAAGTTTACATTGCACGTCAAGCCGGATACCATTCCTATATTCTGTAAAGTGCGGTCTGTGCCTTTTGCGCTGCGTAGTAGGTTAGAGGACGAGATTCAAAGGTTAGAGAAGGCTAAGATTATTGAACCGATTAAGAGTAGTGATTGGGCCACCCCGGTAGTGCCAGTACTTAAATCTAGTGGACAAATCCGTTTGTGCGGGGACTACAAAATTTCCTTGAATCCACATTTGATTGTAGATAAATATCCGATTCCTCCATTTGATTGTAGATAAATATCCGATTCCTCGAGTTGCCGATATGTTGTCTAGTTTGGAGGGCGGGAAGTTTTTTTCGAAGCTCGATTTGGCACACGCATATCAGCAAATCGAGCTCGATGAAAAGTCAAAAAATTTGACTACAGTCACTACACACAAAGGCCTTTATAGATATAACAGACTTCCTTACAGTATAGCTTCAGCTCCCAGACTTTTTCAGAGAGAAATGGAAAAGGTTTTAAATGGAATGCACGGTGTCTCTGTTTATTTTGATGATGTCTTTATATCCGGCAAGACGCAAGAGGAATTTAAAGGTTAAAATAGGAAAGTGTGAGTTTTCATAAAATAAAATCCAATTCTTAAGTTATGAACTAACGGAACAAGGCTTAAGTGTTGCAAAAAATAAGATTGACGCAATCCTAAAAATGAAAACTCCATCACATATTAAAGAATTGCAGTCTTTTATCGGTGCTCTTACGTATAATGCTAGGTTTATTAAGAATTTTGCCATGTTAATGAGCCCGTTGTATTGACTATTGAAGAAGGATGTGGAGTGGCACTGGACCCCGGAACACGATAGGGCTTTTGAAGAGGCCAAAAATAGATGAGTCTCGCAGGATGTTCTCTGCGTTATAATTCTGACTTACCTGTAAAGATTAGATGTGATGCCTCACCCTGCGGGCTTGGAGCCGTGTTTTTCCACATTTTTCCAAGCGGCGAAACCAAAACAATAGCGTATGCGTCTAGGGTACTAAGTCCGGCAGAAAAAAATTATTCCCAACTAGACAGGGAAGCCTTAGCGCTTGTTTTTGGTGTTAAGTCGTTTCATCAATACGTGTACGGTCGCAGTTTCGAACTTGAAACTGACCATAAGCCATTGTCCTACATTTTTAGCAAGAAAAAAGGCATTCCCTAGATGGCTGCAAGTCGTGTACAGCGCTGGGCCGTTTTCTTGTCTGGCTATGATGTTAATATTAGACACATCAAGGGGACAGAAAATGGACCAGCTGACGCGCTATCTAGAGTTTTAACTAATGATATTAATACTCGTAAAAACCAAATTGATGAGGCAAACTATAGTTTTCTTAATTTTGTAACGGATGAAGCGGAGTGGATCGATATTAACATTGTTCGAAATGAAACACTTAAAGACCCCATTTTGAGTCAAGTTTGCGAATTTTTGAGGCAACACTGGCCAGCAAAAATCAATGAACAATTACAGCCTTTTAAAAATAGACAGCTCGAACTGGCCATTGAAAATGAATGCATTCTATGGGGCCATAGATTAGTCATCCCAATGAGCTTACAGGTAATAATTTTAAAAGAATTACATGAAGCTCACATGGGAATTGTTAAGATGAAGGTGCTTGCTCGGTCTCACGTCTGGTGGCCAGGCATTGACAAGGCGATCGAAAATACGGTCAAATCATGTGACCTCTGTTTACGGTTCAATAGCGACCCCCCTCGCGCGTTACTTCACGTCTGGAAATAGCCTGACGCACCAAACCAGCGCATTCATGTAGATTTCTGCGGTCCAATCGAAAGATATATGTATATAGTGATCACGGATGCGTATTCAAAATGGGTAGATATTCGTGAGCTGCCAAACATTACGGCGAACACCACCATTAAGATTCTGAAGGAATATATAAGTATATGGGGTTTGCCAGGAACGATCGTTACAGATAACGGACCAACTTTTACGTCGGAAGAGTTCAAGGTTTTTCTCGGGAAAAATAACATTAAACACCTACGATCGGCACCATATCACCCCGCTTCGAATGGCACAGCCGAGAATGCCGTAAAAACTTTTAAAACTAAATTTAAATTGCTGAGTAAAAAATTATCTCACCACGACGCACTATACAAGTATTTATTTGTTTATCGCACAACACCACATTGCACGACCGGATGTACTCCCGCCTATTAACAGATGGGAAGAGAATTAAAGACTAGATTAGGCACCCTCGAGACGTCAGTGTGAGCCAAGGTAGAAAATAACCAGATAAAACAAAAATTGTTTTTTAAGGGTAACCGCACCCAAGAATTTGATAATAAGGATTCTGTTATGGCCAAAGATGTTACGGGAAGTCAATGGCGAAAGGCTAAAGTAATTGATAAGATAAGCCCGGTACTATATAATGTTAAGCTCGACGATAGCAGAATCTGGAGGAGGCATATAGATCAGTTACGAACTTACGAGGATAAATTCAAAGCCCCCACTACCTTCCATAAGGAAATACTGGTGCCGCACGTAGCTAAAAACACGCAAGAAAACCTACCTCTTGTTCTAATATCGATGACTCCAATACGCGAGAAGCTACCGATCACTGATGCTCAGTCGCTCGAACAACATAACGAACCACCGACGACTGATTCTGTAATCACGGACAAACCGTCATCTATCGGCGCAAACAGCAGGCCTGCGACCGTTGAACCTAGACGATCATCTTGAGTTCGTAAAGCCCCGCAACGCTTAAATTTAGAATGTTGTAAAACTCAAATTAAGCAGGGAGGATTGTGGCGTATGTGCATCGAGCGTACCTCTACTAACAGCGCTACCTAGTGTGACTAGCTTGTAATGCGCGACACCACCTGCCCAACAATGTGGCTGTGCGTGGCCAGCAGATAGCCATAAGCAGCCTGCTAGAGCGTACGTGCCAAGTCTGTACTCACAAGCCTGTACAATCAATAAATCCATTTTACATTAATATTGTGTACCTTGCCTCTCATCTTTTATTAGTTAAAACACAACAAAAATGAAAGCTAATTTTTCTCTCCTCGGATAAGAATACCCTTGATATGTTATCAGATGCTGATAAAAAAATGTAGGATAACCTAGAAAAACTTTATGAGGTGTTCGTAACCCGTGAAAATAGTATGGTCATGTTTTCAATAAATAAAAAGCCACTGTCATATTTGGATGATTTCATTTACAGTTTCTTTATTGTGTCCCAACGAGCGAAAATTACACTATTATAATAGACAGCCTTACGATTAGATATGTTGCATTTTTATACTCCAATTTTATCTGTCGTATAAGCTTGTCCCATGAGTAATGTGCGTAAATTACATTCGTATGTGCGCTTCACTTGTATTCTCCAGGGAAACAGCTCATGTTTCACTCATTGTCAGTTTCTTTTTAATTTGGTCCGAATTATTTGAGAAAGGTATACGTACCACAGCCAGGATATGTTGGATTTGTTTGACTTAATAAAAAAAAGTAGCCAAATAATTCGATTTACTCCCAAAACATAAAAGCGCATTTCAAATACAGTTTCTGTATATGGAAAGATACATTTGATTAATACCTTAAGTGATGCAAAAAAAAAAAAGATTTGAAAAAAAACCAGAGGTAGTTTTTAGAAAAAGACATACAGTATTCAAAAAAAATCGGACGCACAATAACAATCTTGAGATAGATCTGATAAAAACAACCTCCCAAAACATTCTGACCCACAATAATTTAATCACACGAAGCTAACTTACAGGTGTTTCAAGGAAGGTCTTGAAGCTGTAGAGGCATTAATTGCAAAAGAAAAAGTTCGTCAAAGCTTCTGGCTTTCGATGCACTCAAGATTATATCACCTATTAATACAAGCAGGTCATCTCAAAGGAAAACGAGAAAAGTAGGAGATCCCAAGAGGCACGCCAAGTTAAGTTCAAGGCTCCTAGACTTTCGGGAGTTTGCCGCATGTGCAGTGGGCAATCACACTTTTCCCACAAAAAACCTGGAGTGAGAGTGTTTTTTTACAAATACTTTGTACAAGATAAGGTAAGTTAAATAAAAACCAAAGTTTTTGTCACTCACTAAGGACACTCAAACCACACTGTTTAATAAGTTGTGCGTTGAATTAACAAAATTATTCTACTCATTATTGTATTAATAGTTATGATTAAAGTATAATTAAATATGTAAAAAGTACTCGCAAAAACAACTTTATCATTCCAAATAAAATTTGCTTAGATCCAGAAAACAGAAATAAAAATATTTACTGAATTAGAATCCTTATATTTTACCAGCTTCCAAAGTTGGTCGATTTCAAGAGATTTTAATTTTACTCATTGTTTTTCAGAAAAGTACAGCGGTAAATTTTCTCCATTCGATACTAGCAACTGATTTATTAATAATTATAAAATACTTGTCGCAAAGATCATTTAACTCGGAATCTTTAATCTCTCTGCAAGATGTACAGCATTTTACAGTTTAAAAAAATAAAATTTACTTAAAAAATCTGTATTTTCGAAACGAAGCTTTTTAATTTTTTCGAAATGATTGGATGATACTGCAAACACACATTTTTAATGACCTTAGTACTTTTAAGATCCATTTCTCTTAGATTGGCATCGCATTCCGATCTAAAATAATCTGAATCAACGGGCTACAAATTTAAGTTTTAGACAGGAGTCAGAACTGACATTTTGAGATGATTTTTGCAATTTTCTTCGAGAAAGAGATAATAAATCGGTTACATTTGTAAGTAATCGAGAATTCATAACATTTAACATGTCTTGGCACTGCAAGCATAATTAATTTAAGCTTCAAAACGTCGTACGAGCTCCGGACACGATTTGATCCACTTATGGCGGAATCACCCATGTACGTAACACTTCAAAGACATACACTAACTCTGAATTAGGAAACAGGGTACTAATAAAAACGAACTTAGTACTACTTTCAAAATGGAACAGGAAAATTCTTGAAACTTCATAGAGTCCCTTGTGCTTAAACTGTAAGATAAAATGAACTAAGCAACGTTTACGGATGTTACTATGAGAGCAACATCAATTCCAAATGGATTCTGCTTCAATGAAAGATCCAATGAATAGATCACGCAGAATAAACTACCCCTCGACGTGAGTAGCAACTGTCAAAGAAGGGGATGATTATATTGACATTGAAATCGATAGTGGAATTGAGGATATTGGAAACCTCACTAAAATAGAAGCAGCATAAGATAAAGGTTAAATGTGTTGTCGATATCTTTAGTAGTTTGAAACATATAATTACTTCAAAT